CTGCCTGCAGTTGTTGCCAATGATCGAGATGTACGGGCGGATTGTTTGTCTATGCTTGCGGAAACGAGGCAAATATTCCGCAAACAATATGGTGATTCGGCCTGCCTAATGTCTATGCGGTGTTGTTTATCATGTGTCGAAAATGCGTTACCATCCAGCCAGACGGAGGATTTTTTGCGTCTTTATGAGAATGTTTTGTTTGGCCAACATCGTGTTGATGGAATTTCTGATAGTCTTACCAATGATGACATCAAATTTTTGTATGCTTTTTTTCATAATACAATATTGAAGGAAATTCAATAATTGTTATTGGGGAAAATTTCAGAAAAATATGCTTTGGGTTGATACATTATCTTATGTATGCTTATTATTTGCTGGAAAAATCTCATTTATATATGCACATATGCATTTTTATCACCAACGTTTAAAGAATTTGCTTTTTTGTCTTTGTCGTTTGTTATTATCTTAAAATACTTACGGTTTTGATATTTATTGTCTTTATTTTTTATTTATTTCATTTACTGATTTTTTTAAAGGCCATCTACTTCATGAGTGTCACAATCAAGTTGTCAAACGGTTCTCAAAAAACCGTTGAGGTCCCGGATTTGAATATAACCGTTGCAAAGTTTAAGGAAATCGCGTCGGCCGTCACCAACATTCCTGCCGATGAGCAAAGAGTTGTACTACGGGGCAGGGTTCTAAAAGACGGCGATGTTCTTTCTGCCATGGGTATGGAACATGGACAAGCTGTACATATTGTCCGAGGTCAAAAAAGCACAAAATCGGATGTGGCTTCCCCATCCGCACAGGAATCGGCAAGTACGCAGGAGACTCAAACAAATACGAATCCACAAGCGAGACCAGAAACTGTAAATCCGTACGCGGCTTTAGCAGCGAATTTGCCAGCAAGTGGAGGTTTTTCTAACAACATCCCTGGAAATCCCAATCCCGGACTGCAGATGCCTCCTGAACTCCTATCAAACATGTTGCAGAACCCGGCGTTTATGCAGTATTTTCAAGAAATGATGAGGAATCCCCAGTTTTTACAACAAAGGATGCAACAACCACAACAACAATCCCAATCCCAATCCCCTTTTGGTATGAATGAAGGGGAAATGCAACGGCTTTTAAACAATCCCATGTTTATGCAGCTTGTCCTTCAAATGATGAGTGATCCGTCCATCATGCAGCAACTGACTCAATCTTTGGGTGGTGGTTTTCCGGCATCGAATACCCCTTTATTTGGACAACAAAATGCTCCGGCACCGAATTTTGCTCAAAACACGGGCTTTTTTCAGCCGCAAGGGGATCCTCGAGTTCTTTACCAATCCCAGCTTCAGCAGCTAAGAGAAATGGGATTTACAAATGAGCAGGCCAACCTTGCTGCATTGGAGCAAGCACATGGCAATATTGACTTCGCCATTGAAAGACTTCTTAATGCGTGAAAAAATTTTTTGAGAGTTCGAGATGCATGGGGGATATGGGTCTGTTTTTGAATTTTTCTCGGAATTAAGCGAGTATTAACCCTCTTTAGTGCGTATTTGACTCTTAGAAGTAAGTAAATGTACTGGTTTGCCTGCATTATTTGGGCTTTCATTTGCTTAAATTTATTAGAACTTTAATAATATCAAATTAAAAACTTTTTTTTTTTTTTTTTTGTAATTTTTTTTTTTTTTCTTTTTCCTTTTTCGTTTTTTCCGTTTTTTGATTTTTGTTTTTGGTTGTTGTTGTTTGTTTGTTTGTTTGTTTAATTTTTTTTTTTTTTTTAAGTTAGGGAAGGAAAAAAGAATTGAAGAAAGTAAAATGACTACTCTCACTACCTTGCCGAGCCGGCCGCTTTCTTCAAACGCCCGAGAGCAGTTTGAACGATACAATCGTATGGATATTCTTGGAGAGGGAACATATGGTGTTGTTTATCGTGCAGTCGACAAAATCACAGGACAAATTGTCGCCTTAAAGAAAGTGCGATTGGATCGTACAGAAGAAGGAATTCCTCAAACGGCTCTTCGAGAAGTTTCTATTTTGCAGGAAATTCATCATCCAAATGTTGTGAACTTGCTTGATGTTATCTGCACTGATGGTAAGCTTTATTTGATTTTTGAGTATGTGGATTACGATCTCAAAAAGGCAATTGAAAAGAGGGGTTGTACTTTTACCGGTGTGACATTAAAGAAACTTGTTTATCAGCTTCTTGATGGTCTATTTTTTTGCCACAGACATCGAATTGTGCATCGTGACCTCAAACCTGCAAATATTCTTATTACGAGTGATAATGTTCTTAAGCTCGCCGATTTTGGTTTGGCGCGCACATTTCAAATTCCCATGCATACTTATACCCATGAAGTTGTCACGTTATGGTATCGAGCCCCCGAGATCTTATTGGGAGAAAAACACTATACCCCTGCCGTGGATATTTGGAGTGTTGGATGTATTTTTGCAGAATTGGCTCGAGGTAAGGTTATTTTTCGCGGAGACAGTGAAATTGGCCAGCTTTTTGAGATATTTCAAATTCTTGGGACGCCAATGGACAATGAGGGATCATGGCCGGGAGTATCTTCTCTTCCTGACTACCGCGATGTGTTTCCCCGTTGGGCAGGAAAACCACTTGCTCAGGTGATTCCGCAGCTCGACAGTGAGGCAATTGATCTTCTTTCACGAATGCTCAAATATAGCCCCGCAGAACGGATATCTGCAAAAGAGGCACTGCAGCATTCGTGGTTCAGTGAAATTAGAACGTAGTTGCTTAATGCATTATAGATAAGATTTTTCTTGTAGATGTTAGCCTGACATTTAGGCATTTTGTTCTTGTTTTGGATTTTTCGTGTTTATTATCATTATTTTCACCTGTTTCCAAGCATTGAAGGAGCTAGATGACGTTTGACTTAGAGGGTTTTGTTCTTCAGCTGCTCAGTCATTTAAATGCTTAGCTTTTGATCGTTCCTTCTGAGTTTTTTTTTTTTTTTTTTTTTGTTTTTTTGTTTTTTTTTGTTTTTTGTTTTTTGTTTTGTTTTTTTTGTTTGTGTGTGTGTTTTGTCTTTGTCTTTTAGAAAATTAAGTGCAATATTTTTGTGATTTGTGTATATATAATTTGTTAATTTAAAATGATTTTTTTCTTTTATTTCCTTCTTATTCCAGCATTTTGTTTCGCTTTGTTTTATTTTGTTTTGTTTCATTATTTGGCACAGAAGGAAATGTCCAAGCTTTCCGAAGAGGAAGAAAAAATTGCTAGAGCTGCGCTTGAGGAAAATTATATATTGCGCCAGATGTTGCAAGAAACTGCTAATGGCGGTTGCGATGACGAAGAAGTTAGTGGAACGAGTGTGGATAAAGTTGATAGTATATTTGCACTCAGGCGTGGAAATGAAATTTTGAAGGGGGAAATTGCGGACCTACAAAGTCAAATTGATGCCTCTGGCGTCAGTGCCGCAGAAACTGTTCACAAGTTTAATCAATTACAAAACAAAAGAGCGCAATTGCGAAATGAAAACCGAGGCCTAGAAAATATTGCGAATCATCAAGCACCAAAAGTGAAGGAGGTGAATCGTCTTGTTCTTAATCAGTTAACGATGAAGAGGTCATGTGATGAAAAAAATAGAGTCTCAAAGGAGGAAATAAAAAGACTGAAAGATATCAGAGAAAAGGAAATGGAAAAGCTTTATGTTACACTGCGTAAAGAGGCTTATCTCAAGGAGCAGCTTGAAAATGCCAATTTGGCGTCAAATAGTTCTGATAGTCAGACACTTAGGAACGCTATTCTCTCGAAAGACAAAACAATTCAAAAGCTCGAAGAGGATATTGAGAGGGCTCGAACCAATCAAAGGAAACTATCTGATGATGAGAATGGATATAGCGAAGACGGTCTCGAAAAACTTCGCAAAGAACATGATGGTCTTCGCGAACAAGTTCAAACGCTACAGGCGCTACTTCAAGGATCACCCCAAAGGTAATTGGAAATATACGATTAGAAATATCCGGGAAATTATTATTATTATTATTATTATTATTATTATTATTATTGTTGTTTTGGGTTTTTTTTTTTTTTTTTTTTTTTTTTTTTTTTTTTTTGTTTTAGGCATTTGTCTTGGTGTGCATAATTTGCATATATATATATTATGTTGCTTTTACTATTATTATTATTATTAGTTATTGTAAATATTTTTCTTTGTGTTTTCGCGTCATATTTCTGGGAAATGTTAATAATTTATGGTAACCAACTTTATTGGTTGGACCCCTTTTTATGATGCGACACATTTTTTTTTGTTGTTGTTGTTGTTCCAATTTTTTCATAATCATCTTATGAGATATTTGAACCTATATCTATTTGTTTTTGGTTACTCTTATGTCTTTAATGTTTTTATTTCTATTGTTATTATTATTATTATTATTATTAGTATCATTGAATTATTTCTGTAGTGCCCAGCTTACAATCACCAATGAGAAGGTTTGGTATAATCTCTTTGCGTCAATTTAATGCGGTACGCTTTGCGACGCCTCAATTTGCAAAAAGTATTCACAGGCTGCGGAATGTCGGTATTAGTGCCCATATTGATAGTGGCAAGACGACTTTAACAGAACGCATTTTATATTATACTGGTCGAATTGGCAAAATTCACGAAGTAAAGGGAGGAACAGAAGTTGGGGCAACTATGGACTCCATGGAACTTGAGAAAGAAAGGGGAATTACAATTCGTTCTGCGGCAACTCACTGTAAGTGGAACGACTATTTTATCAATGTTATAGACACTCCTGGACATGTTGATTTCACCATAGAGGTTGAAAGAGCTCTGAGAGTTCTTGACGGGGCCATTATGCTTATGTGTGGTGTTGGAGGTGTTCAAAGTCAAACACTTACAGTGGATCGGCAAATGAAACGCTACGGTGTTCCTCGCATTTGTTTCATTAATAAACTTGACCGTGATAATGCAAATCCACAACGGGCGCTTAAGATGGCGAGGGAACGGCTGGGTATAAATGCCGCTTTTATTCAGGTTAACATGGGGATAGCACAGGATTTTGAGGGTGTTGTCGATGTCATTGAAAACCGTGCCGTATATTTTGATGGTGCCAATGGAGAAAGAATTCGGTTTGAAGAAGTTCCAGTATACCTCAAGGATGAATTGAAAACGGCAAGAAAAGAACTCATCGAAAGACTCGCTGAAAG